ATATATATGTATATATATATATATATATATATGTATATATATTCATATATAATATATATATATTATATATATATATATATATATATATATATATATACGTGTGTGTATGGTGTGTGTGTGTATACTGTTAGTATACAGCTGGAATTTGCACAGCTGTCTGTTTATGTAGCTACCGGTGTACTAACCATTGCATGCGTAATTTTATGATACATGTTTATTTTTCGTAGAAAAGCATGCTATCTTCCGCACATGGCACAGTAGGCCTATTTCAACCACTTACCGGAAGGAAAGTGAGAATTTTAAAGCGAGACTTGCTTTTTTTCTCACTTTGTTATTTTAATAAAGATGCCTGCCTCCCCAGTCACATTTCCGCAAACCTAGTATATTTATACTTAATAAAAGAAATGAAAATCTCATTTATTTTTCCACTTTAGCCACGTAGCCCCACAAACTTAATATTATTTAATAGCAAAACTCACCTAGACCACCTGTTTAATTTTTTCTCTCTTAGTTCCTGCTTGCTTTCCTTTGGCCCAAGTGTTCCTCGCCGCGTATATAAAGGGTTGGCCAGTCTCCGCAGCCATCAGAACTCTCGCTTTCAGTCCTGAAGGAGGAACAAACTAGCCCGCTCTTGTTCGCTGTGTTGTGTGCGCCTTTGCTCCCGCGTTTGTTTTTAAGTGCTCGTGTTTCCCGCCAAAATGATGGATAAGGCTGTTAGAATCGTGCTCGTTGGTAAGATATGGTGTATTTTTTTCTGTTTTTTCTTAATATTCTTTATTCTGTTTTTTTTTTTCTTTCTTTCTTTCTCTCTCTCTTCGTTTTCTTTCTTTCTTTTATTCTTTCTATGTTTTCCTGTTTTTTCCTCCTTTCTTTCATTATTCTCTCTCTTTCATTCTTCGTTTGCTGTCATTCTCTCTCCAATCTTTTTTTTCTGTAACTATCGTTCTCCTTTTTTCTCTTTTAACCATTATATCTCTATCTTCTTTTTATTCTCTCTCTATATTCTCTTTTATCTCTCTCTCTCTCTCTCTCTCTCTCTGTCTCTCTCTCTCTCTCTCTCTCTCTCTCTCTCTCTCTCTCTCTCTCTCTCTCTCTCTCTCTCTCTCTCTCTCTCTCTCTCTCTCTCTCTCTCTCTCTCTCTCTCTCTCTCTCTCTCTCTCTCTCTCTCTCTCTCTCTCTCTCTCTCTTCTCTCTCTCTCTCTCTCTCTCTCTTTCTCTCTCTCTTCAATCATAGATTTTTTCTCCATTCGTTCAGTTTCTAGTCTTCATTTCTATTATTATTTCTCTTTCTTTCTTTTCATTTTCTTCATTAAAAAAAAACTACTGCATATCCTTTTCAACAACATTGCTACTATAACTTCGCAAAGTACATCATTATATCACAAATAATACAACAAACTTTACTTTTTTCATAATGATCTCCATTACAATACAGATTAATTAAGCCCTCTTATAATTAATCACCCAAATAACAGTCCTAATTACATAGAACATAAAGCTGCCTCCAAGAAGTTTATAAACCTTCTCCGGCACTTTCTTCCTCTCACCTTCCCACCAATAGTTTAACTATGACTAATCGGACATTGTAACGTGAGCGGTATGTGTGTAAGAGCCAGTTGTCATAATATAAGGCAATTTTGTATTATAAAGGGGTTGATTATAGCAGCATCAGTCTATAAGGAACAGAGAGAACTTCTTGTAGAATATATAAGGAGCAGAGGAAACTTCTTGTAGAATATATAAGAACAGATCTTGTAGAATATATAAAGAGGACTTGTAGGTAGAGGAACTTGTAGAATATATAAAGGAAGCAGAGGAACTCTTGTAGAATATATAAGGAACTTGTAGAATATATAAGGAGCAGAGGAACTTCTTGTAGATATATAAGGAACAGAGGAACTTGTAGAATATAAAGAACAGAGGAACTTCTTGTAGCAACTGTAGCAGATTTCATGCGTTGAATGAAATAGGTGTGAGGCAGCAATTTCGTTCGCGAGGGCTAATACCTATATATTTGTAACACCAGTCATACCGGGAACTAAAAGGCTAAAGGATTCAAAAATGATTAATAGTTGTTACGATGCTGATTGCACTAGTCATGGTAGTAACTTGGAAGGTAAAAAGTGGAAAAGAGAAGTAAAAGCTATTCTATTAGTAAAACTAGCCATATTTATAAGTTACACAGCCGGGCGCCAGAAAGACATTGTTGATAGTTATAACGATATTGGTAATACTATTCACAGCAATAACTCGAAAGAGGAAAAACCTTAGGAAATACATTAATGTAATTATTCTAGCGGTATTGGTAATACTGGTCTTTGCAACAATGTTCCTTGGAAATGGTCATAAAAATATTGCAACGATTTAAAAGGCAAAGGGTCAGGAGAGAAATATGAAAAGAGCAAAAGGTTTGGATACACATTACTGTACTAATTCTAGTGATATTGGTAACACTGGCCTTTGCAACAATGTAGCTTGCAAATGGTCGTAAAAAAGGTAA